TTGTACTCTCGCTACCTTTTGCATTTCATATTCTTTTTGGCTGTCATAAAAAGTTGTGTGTCAATCATGGGCAAAGCCTGGAAATGGAACCTTGATCAATTATAGGTATAATGGGCCATTTTACCACCATTTTTGCACCAAAACTGATAACGTTGTTTTTCTATTTGCTAAGCCAGAGTGTCGTTGATAACCAACACCGACTTTTGCGCGGATAGATCTATCCTTGCTCTACCATCTGCTTACCAAGAATATCTTAGTGGTGACATTTAAATTGATGACGTCACAAGTGGTACAAAGAGCACGACCATTAAGCACGCGTACATGCGTAATCAGGATGAAAGGGGTTATCACATTAATTATTTATCCATTGGGACGGAGAGATTTTGCTCACGAGAACTCACTCGCATTTTTTAGCCTCTGCGAAGACATCCACGCACGCACGTAGTAGTATTATCCGCAGTCGTATGTTTAAAAATAACATTGAGAGGGATAAGGCGAATTACCTTCATCATCTCTTGACTATTCATACTGTGGCACAAAGCCACATGCAGAGAGAAACCACGTTTCACAGATCATTCTTTTTTGTAGTCCTTTTACAAACAAGTGATTTCGTTGGCTCATAAAACAGATGCCATTTCAGAATGAAAAAAAGATGTTTAATCCTTGCTCAGCATATAGTTTTTGATGATTTTGAATCTGCTCTCCTACTGTGATGTCATAAGGGGATCAATCAATCAACACTTTATTTATACATGTTGCTTCTAAGAACTAAGTAAGAAAAGAAAAGGTAAAGTCTGCATACGAGCCAAGTGGTCCACCAGGCCTGAGCTTATCCCGGTTTCTGTAGCATGAAGCGACTAGGAGTATTTCTACTTCCCCCTGGATGGGATGCTAGTCCATCTCAGGGTCACCCGCAACATTAAGTTCACAGTACCCATTTATACACCTGGGTGGAGAGAGGCACGGTGAGAGTAAAGTGTTTTGCCCAAGAACACAACACGATGTCCTCGACCAGGGCTCGAACCCGGACCGCTCGATCCGGAGACGAGCGCACTAACCATGAGGCCACCGCGCCTCCCTGCGTTTTACATGTAAAGCGTGAAAAAAAAAGTTGTTTCCTTGACTCAGACCTGACTTATATCAATATAATCTTTTGTAAACAAAAGTCGTCCCTTAAATCTTAAAACACGAATCACAGTGGGCATCCCATCACAGAATAGATAGTGAGCAGCGTAGCCAATCAGAGAACGGCATTCGTGATAGAATGCTAGTAGATTAATACTACAGTGGAACCTCGATTTAACGAACCTCTATTTAACGAAGTCCTCGATATAACGAACGATGTTCTATGTCCCGGCCAAAGTTACAGTAAAATGTATGGAATAGAACCTCGATATAACGAATTCTTCGATATAACGAACATAATCCAGAAGCCCAAACGTAAAATCTACCTCGATATAACGAATTACGAGGTCAGTATGCGACAGAAGATAAACGTTGAACAGATCAACAGTCAACAAATCCTTGTAATCCTTATGGTAAAGACACAGCAACCTTTCAGTCAACGGCTTATTATATGTCATAGACATTGGCACTATAGTATTTCGACATCAATTAACTTCTGCTCTATCTTCTTTGAAATCCGGAAATGTTGGGTAGTGCAACATAACAACACTAAAGCCCGTTTTCTAAAACTCGTAAATAAAGTTTCTAGTTATAGTTACCTTTTTCAGAATTTTTTCTTTTTTAAATAAGTTTTAGATTTACTCGGATTGAGACTGTTGATAGAGTATGATTGATTGACTATGTGAGCTTTGAATATAACTGTTTCTGGAATTATAGCAGTCTCAAAAGATGTGGAAATTGTGAACATTTTTGCTTTTCATGCAATTTGAGTTCGTTTGCATCCCGATTTCAACACTCACTCGGGCATTGCGTACATTTTCGGGCAAGAAGAACACCCCCACCCCCCCGAGGGTTTTCCAATACGCCCAAAGTGAGTCGAGTCGTCTAACTTCGGAGGCAATCATCCTTCTTAATATTTAAAAGCAAAAAATGAATTGTTAGTCGAGATGCATCACTCTACATTATGATAACATTTCCTTTTCATGCAGCATTTACACTATTTTCGCAAATATCTTTTACACGGCCCGCCCGATCTATTTGGTATATCTCTACATGAAGAAGTGGCAATGAAGACCTTTAATATTCTCTTCTTCTGGTATAAATTATTTATTGTCATTTTATTTTGATGTACCGAAATTCTCTCGCGGCCAAACAAAGCTGTTGGAAGAGGATGGCCTGCTCATAATTAACTGACGATTTTTTAAAAAAAAATAATAGATTGCTTCTTTCATAGTGATAAGACTTTTAAAACCCATGAGCTTGTTATAAATTCTTCTCTTTTAAGCCTAATGTGTATTTCCGAAAGCAGCATTTTATAACAGAACATAAATCACTTAAACATGACTTCGTTCATTGAAGTACCTTTTTTCTGTCTTAGTATAAAACTGCACCTGTTAGCTATTTACAAGGTGGCGTTACAGTTCATAAGAGAGCAGGCGGGTTTGCTGAAAGGAAATTGAAGAACATCGTTAAATTGTACTTCAGCCAGTTTCAATTCTAGACAGTTGTTGTAACATTTCATCGAACGAAGTGTTTTCTAACTCAAAAAAGCTGACATCACTTGCAAAAAAACTCGGACGATGATAATTTCGGACAAAAAAAGTGTCCGAAAATAAAACCGTCGAAGTTTTAAGCGCTCGAAATTTTAAGCTTCCGAAATATTTACACAACAGAATAACATTTTGGAGTGGCTCTAAGGCCCTAAGTTTCCTCTATGAGGGGAACTCTAGTAGAGACACTTAAGATATGTAACGACTTGATAGAATTTGTGTTATTTTCTCCTCGGTATATCTCTAGAACCTTGAGAGTGCAGTAAAACTATCATTTTTTACAGATGTTGTTTCAGTCTAATTCGTGTTTTGTAGGCGTAAATTTGCTTAAGCTATGTTTCACCGCAGTACTCCGAAATCTTTCTTCGAAATTTGTCCGAAATGAGATAAAAAGTGTCCCAAATTGAAACGTTCGCAATAAAACGATCAAAATTTTTTGCAAGTAACATAGTCATTCCATACGCTGTAGGAATACCCTTGAAACATTTGCGTTAAACGAGTCTTCCTGCCAAACTCATTTCATTTCAGCCTCTCTTTGACAAAGCTCTTTTTTGTCAGTAAATTGGCAGTATGTTGTAACAGTATGTTGTAACACTTGAAAGATGATATGTTTGGAGAGACCTTTACAAAGTTAAAAGGAACGCAAATTTCATACACAAAATGACATGAATACTTGTTAGTGAATGATTATTTAGAATTGTTACTTGTGCAATCGGAAAATTAAGTATATTGTCGTTTTTTTTCGGAAATATAATGCACCTAATTGATTCGGACAGCTGGATATATATATATCATTCCAGAAATACCACATTTTAGTAACGGCTTAGCGCAATTTGTATTTGAACCAATGTATCGCTTGGTAGACTATTGCAGACGCTACTGAAAAAAAAGATACAAAATCTTAAGAAACTGAAATATAATAGAATATAGAGAATAGCCTAGAGCAAGATAAAAAGGACAAAACCAAAAACCCTACACCAAAAATAAAGATACAACTCGAAAATAATAAACTCGAGGTCTGATAACGTTATTTCTTTTAAAACAACTGAATATGCAATCCCTCAACTTTTGTTTTGCCAGTTTTCGCAAATATTGACATTTTCAAAGTCGCTATGAATGTTTCCCTAAAAAATATATTTATTGAGCAATTAACTTGAAAAGAAACTCGTTGCATATAGGTCCGATCTCTTTTCCAAATTTTGGGGACTTCTTCCCATCTTGCAAGTGTTTTCCAATGATGACACAAACTAGCCGACATTTTCTATAGCATTAACTGATATTAGTAATAGTAGACCAGGCAAAGTGGTTCGCTGTTAATTTCTGCGAGTCATTTACGGTGTTAATTGCGATTAAACATTGAGAAACAGTAAAAAGGGTGATCAAGTCGCTTAGTAGGTAATTTTCTATCAACCGCTCGATGCATTGTCAAATGAATTGAAAATTGAGACAGCTGTATGTGATAAAGGCTGAGCGGGTCTTATAAGAGAGCCCCTGGCCATCGATATTCACATCTTGCAGTTGGAGCAACATGACGGTTCTAATTGTGTTATGTTGCTTTGTTTTGGGGAGGGTGTTCTCCGCACACCCCGAAGGTGAGTTACATTGAAACACTCTAGTCATGTCCGACACATGAATAACGTTTTGGTCACTCAACCAAGCGCATTTTTTTTTAGGTTTCGTTATCGATATCTTTCTCGTTCTGATTGCGAATTTCTTTCCGCAGGCAGGCAAATTTATTTTGTTTTAAGTACACTAAAAACTCTTCTGTACCACTACGTATACTTTTCCAATCCAGGCTAAAATGTTAAGGAGCAAAATTTATCAGGTTGATCAAGTAGGTCTTACTGCTTGCTGCTGACTATAAAAGATAATTTAATAATTTCATCTGGATGTATCCCTTGACCATATAATTTTCACAGCGTATTGAGATAATCAACCTCCAAAGCAAATTTTGGATTCGCCCTGTTCCTTTTGACTCCGGGTTCAATTTGACAAATATTTGAAGCCTGCAGATTTATGAATATACACTTCCTTAAACTCGGTTTTAACTGAGTATAAGTTTGAAATGCTGCAAGAACGTCAAGTAATTTAAGTCATAATTAATCTCTTGGCTCAAAACGAGAAGCTGTATTCATTAACTAATGACATGATTTTTCAACCCGCCTGTACTCCACCCCCCGAACATGCTAATAAATTAATAGACAAACACAGAAAAAATGCAGCGGCGATTTGAATAAACTCAGAGAGCAGAAAAACGAGACTTTAATGTTACGCGTTAGGATTTTTTTTTCTTTAAAGGAAACAATGTAAGAAAAAGGTTATTGTTAATGTGAAATTAAAGCCTTCGGGTGGCGACTACTGGATAGGTAGCCGACGCTAAGATTATTTCTTTAGATTTCAAGACTGAGATATATTATTGTGGCAGAGAAATGGTCGAGGCGGCCAGGAGTCGATATGACACTTGAAAAATGTGTGAATTGCAACGATATACTGATATACTGAGGGTGGGGCAAAAATGTTGACAATCATCTGCAACTGAGTCACAAATAAATGCTACAATAGAAATATTGGAGAGAAATTACGCCTAAGAAGTGGCTAAGGAATGTAAAATTGTTCAATAGTCTTTCAACGTAAAGTAGAAATCAAAGATTTTCCTGGTGCAGAAAAAAGCATCAAAGATTCTTATGTGATACACAGGGGAACAACGCTAAAAGGATTTTAAAAATCACAAAGGCAGCATTTGAACGGAAAAAGGGAATTCTTTGATGATTGTTACGTAATGTTAAAGGCGGGAAAGAGTACAATCAATCGCTAATTACATGCTTACAACGAGGTTACGTAATTCTGAAGGGAACTGTCGCAGAACTACTTAAAACGAAAAATATTAAACAATTTACGCTTAATGCATGGACCAGGGCTGGTCCCCACTCCTAGGAAAAAACCATCGCAGAAGCGTTTATCATAACTTTCTTATTGCTGAATTCTAAGCGCCTGTGTGTAAGAGTTGACTGTGCCTGATAGTAACGTTAAGATCGAGACAACAGTCGAGCGGGTGTTCCAAGAGAAGAGTTACGGATAAAACGGTTGGTCAGTTGAAAAAATGAAAGCGGTGATTTTGCTTTGCTGTCTTGTAATCGGAGTTGCTCAGTCCTTGCTCCCTTCACCTGAGGGTAAGTGAAAAGACTTGTAGATCAAAATATACGTTACTGTTTGTTTTGTTTTGTTTTGTTAAATGCAAGTGGCGGTTACTTTCCTTTCATCGCTATTGTATGGCAGTAACAGTGATATCGGAGAACACGATCATATAATGCAGGGAACAGTATGAGAAACGTTTTCGCGGGCGACCTACAGCGGCTCCGCTCACTAATTTTAATCACACTGAGACCAGACAAAAATATTTACGAATCAATTAATTTACAATTCGTCTTTCTTTTTGCAGAGAATAGGCGCTTATCACGGCAAGGCAAAGAACTCTTTGAAGGCGACATTGTCTTAACTCCCCAACAGAAAGCAGTTATACAAGGTCTACAGAAAGGCTCGATTACAAACAAAAGATGGCCTAATGGCGTTATCGTGTACGAGATTGATAGCTCACTTTGTAAGTAACATTTCAAACTGCTCTTCTGAAAGTGTTTAATTAGGACTACACGATATGGCTTGCGTGTACATCGGAGCACGTTTGCAGGATTTGTGTACGTAGATAGTTCGCACACTTATGAACTACTTTTAAGTGAGTGTTATATCCGCGACGGTTGTTCTGACTCTTCGCTTAGCCAACATCTGATTTCTTGAGAATGGAGTTGCAATCTGCTCTTATCTTCTCCAGGAATGTCTGTCCTTTAACGTGTTGGTGTCTCTTCTCTTGTTCCCAATACACACTTCAAGGGCGATGGAAAATGGAATAAAAGTAACTTTTTTTTCTCGGCTCCCTTCTTAAAACGTTGCTCACAACACTCCATATATATAAAAATAACTGGAGATTGACTACTGAGATAAGCTGCAGAAATTACTTATAGTTTCTAATAAACTAATGCAAACTGGCAAAAGGATAGCATTCGGTTACTCGTGTGGCTGAATAGTGGATCTAGGAATAACAATAACAATTCTGCCATCTTGTGGTAAAGTAAAGGGGTTAAACTCACCGCCACGCTGCCACTTGTAAGCTTTATTTCATTACATGCTGAAACTAACCAGACATTCTTTTTTTTATTTCCATAGCATCAGCGTCGAAGGCGATGGCGGCAATTAATGCAGCTTTTGCTGATTATAAGAAGAATACATGCATTACGTTTAAACAGAGGACAAACGAACGAGATTATGTATCCTTCTTCAAGGGAGGCGGGTAAGTTTACAAAAATTTAAAGTCTCAAATCGAGGAAATTACGTTTGCTGTCATTAAATATTCCAGTAATATACAAATTCTAACGATTTAATTCTCAAATTTTGTCTAAAAGCAGCTCTTGAAGTTGCAAAGACGCTACTGAATTAAGGTTTTGTGACTTTCTCAGTGATAAGCAAGACAAACAAGCCTGCATGGTGTGATGTCGATGAAAAACATTGCATAGTAGAGATAAACAGTGCAGACATAAAGTAGGATAACAACCACTCGCGCCTCAAGGACAATCGAGGGCTTAGTGCGTCTTGTTTAAACTCGAGAAATTATTTTCACCAGCTGATTACAATCTAAAAGCAGCTCAGCGATAGGCCACATTGACGGCTTAGCTTATTCACTGTACACGCCCATCTCGAACAGAGCTGTTTCGATATATTGTAAGATAACCCGTATTTCAAAAAGCCAGCTAAACG